TGAAATAATTATAACAGGTTTTTCACATACATGAATATTTAGAGGCATATTCAAAAGCTGCACATCCCTCAACTTAACCCCAGTTGTCAGAAAATCTTATCTGAAAAGTTTTAGACTTTTCCACAATGACCGCGTCTTACTGAACATTTTTACCAAATATACGGACAAAAACAGTTACATAAATGGCATTAGGATGGAGGGATATTTAATACAACGGAAGACCTAACTGAAATTCGATATCATTCCAATAATCTTGAACACTGATATAAAATCAGTAAGAAGACAGCACAATTTAAAAGTTATATGTAGACTTCCAGCCAACATGGAGGCATAGGTAGACATACTGCCTCCTCACGCAACCAAAATAAGGACAACAACAATTTAGAAACAAAAACCAACCAGTACCAACAGAAAATTGAACTGCATGGAAGTCCTACAACCAAGGAGTTAAAGTAGACACATTTACCCAGCCCAGTAGGAGGGGCAGAATCCCATGGCCAGGAGCAGAGGGGTTGCAAGCAGTGGCTGGTAGACCTGGGCACGAAACGCAGCAAGGTGGCAGCAGGTGAACCCAGTAAAGTGGTGGATTATGAAGGGGTGCGACGCACAAGGCGGCTCGCTGACTGGGCGATCCCACATACACCTGTATATAAGCCAGGCAAAACTGGGTAGTGAGAGAGACTACACAACCCAGGGCTCCAGCAGGGGGAAATAAAACCTCAAAACACCAATTGAAAACACCTGTGGGGGTTGAGGAGCCAGGAGAAACTCCCAGCCTCACAGGAGAGTTCGTTCGTTGGAGAGACCCATAGGGTCTTAGAACGTATGCAAACCCACCCACCACAAAGGAATCAGCACCAGAAGGTCCCAATTTGCTTGTGGGTGAAGTGACCAATATCCAGCAGAGGACAGAGCAAGCGCCACTGTTCCCTCTCAGACCCCTCTCCCACACATAGTGTCAAAACCCAGCTACCGTGGGTTGCCCCGCCCAGGTAAACAACTAAGGCTATGCCCCTCACTACATCACAGGTGCATTAAGGCAAATGCCCCCCCCCCCCGCAAATGGCCCAAATGAAAGAACAGATCGAAGCTCCAGAAAAAATACAACTAAGTGATGAACAGATAGCCAACATATCAGATGCACAGTTCGAAACACTGGTGATCAAGATGCTCACAGAACTGGTTGAATTTGGTTGCAAATTAAATGAAAAAATGAAGGCTATGCTAAGTGAAATAAAAGAAAATGTACAAGGAACCAATAGTGATGGGAAGGAAATTGGGACTCACATCAATGGAGTGGACCAGAAGGAAGAAAGAAACAACCAAACAGAAAAGGGCGAAGAAACAAGAATTCAAGAAAATGAGGAGAGGCTTAGGAAACTCCAGGACATCTTTAAATGTTCCAACATCCAAATTATAGGGGTGCCAGAAGGGGAAGAGGAACAGCAACAAGTGGAAAACTTATTTGCACAAGTAATAAAGGAGAACTTCCCCCTTTTGGCAAAGGCAATAAACTTCCAGGAAGTCCAGGAAGCTCAGAGAGGCCCAAAGAAGTTGCGCCCAAGAAGGAACACACCAAGGCACATCATAATTACATTAGTCAAGATGAAAGATAAGGAGAGAATCTTAAAAGCAGCAAGAGAAGACAGTTACCTACAAAGGAGTGCCCATAAGACTGTCAACTGATTTCTCAAAAGAGACCTTACAGGCAAGAAGGGGCTGGAAAGAAGTACTCCAAGTCATGAAAGGCAAAGACCTATATCCAAGATTGCTCCATCCAGCAAAACTTTCATTTAGAATGGAAGGGCAGATAAAGTACTTCTCAGATAAGGTCAAGTTCAAGGAGTTCATCATCATCAAGCCCTTATTATATGAAATGTTAAAGGGACTTATCTAAGAAAAAGATGAAAAACATGTATACTAAAATGACAGCAAACTCACAATTACTAACAATCACACCTAAAACAAAAACAAAAGCAAACTAAGCAAACAACTAGAAGAGGAACAGAACCACAGAAATGAAGAACATATGGAGTTATCAACAGGGGAGTGGGAGGAGGAGAAGAGAAGGGGAGAAGGTACAAAGAATAAGTAGCATAGATGGTAGGTAGAAAATAGACAGGGAGAGGGTAAGAATAGCATGGGAAATGTAGAAGTCAAAGAACATATGTATGCCACATGAACTAAATGGGGGGAATGTGGGTGGGAGGGGGTGTGCAGGGTGGAGAGTGAAGGGGGAAATGGGACAACTGTAATAGCATAATCAATAAAATATATTAAAAATAAGAAAGAAAGAAAGAAAAAAAGAATTATATGGACAAGATATGAGAGTAGAATTTGGTCAGTTCATGTTTTTTAAAAAACACCACAATATGATATGACCAGAAGTAATAAAAAAATATATTGGCTAAAAGAGAATTACTACAGTTACTTTATGCTAGTCAGAACATATGAAATTTTTTGCTTAATGTAATTTGAAACAATATATTTTAAGAAGAATAGCTTTTGAAAGCTAGAGTCTAGCATTATGCTAAGTGTGAAAAGCCAGGCAGTGAAAGACAAATACCATATGATCTCACCTAGAAGTGGAACCTAATCAACAAAAGAAACAAATGAACAAAACAGAACCAGATACATGAAAATAAAGAACAAACTGACAGTGACCAGGGAGGGGGAATAACAGGGGAAAGAAGGGAAAGGGGCAAGTCAAGGAACATGAATAGAGGAGACACAGGCGTAGACAATGGGAGTTGGGGGAACAGGGTGGGGGAGAGCAATGGAGAAAAAAGGTGGGACAACTGTAACTGAACAATTTAAAACAAACAAACAAACAAACAAACAAACAAACAAACAAACGTACCCAAAGAAAGGTAATTTGATTGCTGAGAGGTCTGAAAACATCAGCATTATGATCATTAATGAAACAAGGAAATGCAGATCACTGGGAGAAATATGTACTTTTAAATAATGACAACAAATTATCCATATTTGTTAATTGTGTTTTTCATAAGCATATGTGCGAACCTAAAATCCAGTCTAACTTATAGTTTTAAAAACTTTTCCAAAATTGCCAAGCCAAATAATTATTCCATATCTCTAATGAACTATATTCTAAGAAACTATGAATTAGACCATACGGTCCATGCATATGATAGCTATATCAATTTTAACAGGAATAATAATAATAATAACAGCTGCCAATTACTTAGCACTAATCAGGTATCACACATTCTATTAAGCATTTTATAGAAATTATCTCATGTAAGCCATGCCAAAACCCTGTAAGACAGGTATTATTATACCCTATTACTATTAAAAATAGTGGACCAAATGCCCTATCAAGAGAATGAATAAACTATGATATGTCCACACACTGGAAACTTACAGAAATAAAAAGTAAACTAAAACTACATACATCTACACAGAATCTCAAAAACCTAAAACTGCATGAAAAACACAATTCTCAGAATATATACTACATTAATTCCATCTATTACAGAGTTCAAAACCATACTGAACAGTAAGAAAATCAATACATGTCCCCTGGCTGGTTTGGCTCAGTGGACTGAATACTGGCCTGCGAACCAAAGGGTCACAGGTTTGATTCCCAGTCTAGGGCACATGCCTGGGTTGCAGGCCAGGTCCCCAGTGGGGGTTGTGTGGGAGGCAACCATACACTGGTGTTTCTCTCCCTCTCTTTCTCCCTTCCTTCCCCTCTCTAAAATAAATAAATGAAATCTTTAAAAAAAATAAAATCAATACATGTCAAAATAAGGAGTAAAAAGAGTTATGACTGGGGAAGGGGACACACAGGACTTCAGTGTCATTTGATAACCTTCTATTTCTCAAGATGTATGGCTGATAATGCAGGGATTAACTTTATTCCTTATATATGTATGTTTCATGTCTTCTTTTCTGTGCATGAAACAGTTCACAATGGAAGGAAATTAAGTACTATTAAAAAGGAGGTGAGCCCTAACAGGCGAGGCCCAGTTGGCTGGGCATCACCACTCAAAGGGAAAGGTCACCTGTTCAATTCTGGGTCAGAGCACATGCCTGGGATGCAGACCCAGTCCCTTGTTGGGGTGCATGAGAGAGGCAACCAACTGATGTCTCTCTCCCTCCATTCCCCTCTCTCTAAAAAGTAAATAAATTTAAAAAAAATTTTATTTATTTACTTATCTTTAGAGGGGAAGGGAAGGAGAGAGGGAGAGAAATATCAATGTATGGTTGCCTCTCATTCGTCCCGATAGGAACTGGCCTGCAAGCCAGGCATGTGCCCTGACTGGGAACCGAACTGCGGTTGTTTCATTCACAGGCCTGCACTCAATCCACTGAGCTACACCAGCCAGGGCAATAAATAAAATCTTATAAAAATAAAAGTGAATTATACATAGGCTATTATAGTTCTCTGTTCCTAAGCAGAAAATATATATCTGAAAATAGCTGGACTTTCTCTGCATCTCAAGATATCACCCTCAAGAGAAAATAAGATTGACAACAATATATGATAAAACAAATCTATTCTTATTTTCCAAAGGAGGTAATTTTTTTTTCTTTTAATTGTTGTTCAAGTACAGTTGTCTCCATTTTCACCCTACCACGGCCTCCTGCCCCACCCAACCCTACCACCCACCCTTGAACCCACCCCTTTGGCTTTGCCCATGTGTCCTTTTACACATGTTCCTTGATGGACCTTCCCCTACTTCCTCCCATTATCCCTTTCCCCTATGTCCTCTGGTTACTGTCAATTTGTTTTTTATTTCAAGGTCTCTGGTTATATTTTGCTTGCTTGTTTGTTTTCAATAGATGAACCTGAAATTAATCAAAACTCGGAATCTAATCCTCAATCTTAACTTTTGAAGAATTAAGACTCCTAACACTTTAAACCAAACACTATCAGTGACTCGGCTAGAGTCATGAAAGCTGAGGTAAGAGATCTAATTTCTACTACTCTTTCTTTTACATTTTGTCTTTTCATTTCTACATTTTTTTGATACCTTGGATAAGTCATCTTGACAGAACAACTTTGCTTTGATCTCTTCCACTTTTCTCCTGTCATCTTCATTTAATTCTGAAATGGAGTAGCCACAGTTGTGAGCCATATTAAACTTCAGATTCCAGGCTGTAGAGAAAGCATAAGACACTTGAGATAAGACAATGCAAAAAGTGGCAATTTATCATTCATTTTAAGAGCACAGATCATCATTACACCTACTCTAATACCTAACATGTACGAAAGAGAGTGCTCTAAATTACATGACAAACTATTAATAGTTATTGAGAGATCATTTCATTGAAAAGTCTGATTTTTTAAAACCACATTCTACAGACTTTTCTCCATAGAGGCTCCTTTAAATATGGTATTCAATCATTTTTATCATAATCTTCCTTCTAATCAGGACAGTCCCTTTGCCTTCCCTATTAGCTCTATAGTTACTGCCACTTTCATAAGAGCTAATATTTTAAAATAAATAAAACTTGGGAGTTTTTTTGAGAATCAAAATATGCACAACTGATTAAAGGACTAGTTTAGGAAGATAATCTCAAGGAAAAGATTCCCAGATAGGCATCTATTGCTTACAAGTTGTACTTTATAATATATTCTCCACATTGCCCTAAATATTTTTAACAGAATTCCACTATTTGAGATTAAAAGGATTAATTCTTTCTTAAAACTGTAATCCAAGTTCTAGTGTAAAATACCTTGATTAGTTTTTTTCAATGTTTACCTAAGATCTGTTCCAAGAATTTTATTAGCAAAGGGGATGAAAAACTATATGTAGTTTTATGATAGAAAGTAATTTAGGGCAGAGCAAACTGAATTTTTTTTGTCTCCAAAATAAGGGTACTATAATGGGAGGATCAGAGAAACATGAGAGCTTTAGGAACCCTAGCTCCCTACCCTCCTTCAGACATCAAAACTTACTTTTCCTAAGATCCTAAACTCAGACTAGCATTAACAATATTAATATTGTGACTTAGCTACATTATTGGTTAAATAGGCTTATTCTGGATTGCTGTAGAAGATGTAATCATCCTACCAGTTCTATCAGAAAATAAATTTAGAATGCCAAACACTTAACTTTAAATAAATTATTAAACTACAATGTTTATAAGCTTCACCCGCCTTCATAACAAATTATCAGTTCCTACCTCGTGCGCGTACCCGGCATTCCTCTTCCTCTGCATTTCTGAGTATTTGTTTAGCATGATTCAATGAGGATTCACATTTCAGAAGGTTTTTCACATGTGCAGCCAGTGAATCTACACTACTACCACCCCCATCATCACTCTCTGACACACACTCTTCCTCTCTGCTATCTGTCATGCTTGTCTTTGGTGAAGGATGTGGAAATAAGTTTAGTAGAACATCAGAAACTGACTCTAAGGAATTACTGTCCCATGAGCAGGAACTTGCGTCACTACTTGAATCGCTTTTTATGATAGTCATCATAGGGATAAGAATTTTATTTCCAAAGGTTCCACTACACCCTTCAGGTTCAGATCTCATTACAGATTTGGCTGCTTTATATTGCCTAAGGGTTTCATCCAATGCCACTCTAGCTTTGCTTTCTGCTTCCTGTATAGGACTTCTAACTGCAGTTGAACTAATAAACTCCCAATTTTCAACACCTCTCTGGCATTTCAGGTTCGTCTCTGTGTTAGTATCCTTCTGTATGTACTTGCTGCTTGGATTCTCCTCTGTGAATGGCTTTCTCGGAGGCAAATCAACACTGGATTCATCAGGTGTACAGGGTTCTTTGAAGCAAACAACCTTCTTAGATTGAATAAATGAAATATCACTAACATCTCTGAAAGGTACAAGGGGAGCAGGAAAATTGCATCGTTTCAGTGCTATATTTTCAGCCTCCATTAAAAGTGTCTGAATCTGTTTAAGAGTTTTTGAACTATTATCTGTATACTGGATTTCCTCAGAGCCGACATCTTCAAAACCTGAAGGTTCTGTCTTATTTACTACAACTCTGTAATCAGCTTGAGAACTTAAAGGCATATTGTTGGAGATAATACTAGAGTGAGAAGAATCCAAATTATCTATTAGCCTTTGGACATGGTCTGAAACAAGTTTGTGCTTCTCACTATGTGAATAAGTACCAGAGTGACCCGTTGATAACCCAGTGTTCTCATCAGCTTGCCCAAGACCACTTGAGAACTTTGGGGACTCTTCAGTTAGATGTCTATCTGGCAAATCCTGTTGATAGAATCTATTTGGTTTTTCTCTGTATGAAAAAAAACGAGGAGGAGCTGTTGGTAACACAGTTTTCTGGTTATCTGGTTCTAGAATTGTTGACACCTTCAGTACATCTTCAGTTAGATGTTTTTCTGGCAATTCCTGTGCAGATAAAATATTAGATTTCTCTCTGTTTGAATAGGAACTAGAAGTAGGTATCCCAGAATTCACGTCAGTTGGTTCAGGGACAGGAGAAGCCTTCACAATATCTTCACTATGATGTCCACTTGGCAAATGCTGTTTAAAGAAAATACTAGGCTTTACTCTCCGAGAATAAGAATTATGAAAAACTGTCAGTAATGGAGTCTTCTGGTTGTCTGATCCAATCACGGTTAAATTCTCGGGCTTCTCTCCATGTGAGTAGGAAGTAGAGGAAGCTGTTGGTAACTCAGTCTTCTGGTCATCTGGTAAAACTACAGTTGAAATCTTGGGTTTCTCTTTAGGGGAGTAAGAACTAGAGGGTCCTGCTGATATCTCAGTCTTTTGGCCAGCTGGTACAGGAAGAACAAAAACTTTTAAAGCTTCTTCAGTAGTATCTGGCAACTCATGCTGGTAAAAAGTACCACCCTTTTCTCTGTATGAGTGGGAACCCGAGGGGATTATTGGTATTCCGGTCTTCTGTTCAGTTGGTCCAGCAACAGTTGAAACTTCCAAAGTTTCTTCAGTAATATCCGGCAACTCCTTCTGATAAGAAGAGATGGGGCCCTCTCTATGTGAATAGGAAGAAGAGGGAACAATTTGTATATCAGTCTTCTGGTCAGGTGGTCCAGAAACTACTAAAAGTTTTAAAGCATCTTCATTATGATCTGGCAGCTCTTGCTGATAAGAAATGATGGGCTTCTCTTCATGAGAGTAAGTAGTAGAGGTTACTACTGGTATCCCAGTTTTCTGGCCAGCTAGTCTGGAACCCCCTAAAACTTTTAAAACCTCCTGAGTAAGATCTTGCTTGTAAGAAATGAGGGGCTTCTCTATATATGAATAGGAATTAGATGGTACTGTAGGTATCCCAGTCTTCTGGTCAGCTGTTCCAGGAACACCTGAACCTTTCAGAGCCTCTTCAGTTACATGACTACCTGGCAACTCCAGTTGGTAAGAAATAATAGGCTTTTCCCTATGTGAGTAAGAAGTTGTTGTTGGTTTTCTGGTATTCTGGTCACCTGGTAAAGGAACAACAGAAATTTTCAAAGCCTCTTCAGTCAGCTGACTATCTGGCAAGTCCTGTGGGTAGAAAATCAAGGGCTTCTCTCTTTGAGAGTAGGAAGCAGATGATACTGTAGGTAACCCCATCTTCTGTTCAGCTGGTTCAGGAGAAGCTGAAACATTCAGAGCCTCTTCTGTGATATGTCTATCTGGTAAGGCCTGTTGGTAAAAATTAATGGACTTCCCCCCATCTGAGTAGGCACTTGTAGGTATTCCAGTCTTCTGGTCACCTGGTCCAGGAACAGCTGTAACTTTCAGAGCTTCTTCAGGTACATGACTCCCTGTCAAGCCCTGTGGGTAGAAAATAATGGGCTTTTCCCTAAGTGAGTAGGAACCAGAAGGTTCTGATGGTATTCCAGTCTTCTGGTCAGCTGGTCCAGGAACAGCTGTAACTTTCAGAACTTCTTCAGGTACATGACTCTCTGTCAAACCCTGTGGGTAGAAAATAATGGGCTTTTCTCTATGTGAGTAGGAACCAGAAGGTTCTGATGGTATCCCAATCTTCTGGTCAGCTGGTCCAGGAACAGCTGTAACTTTCAGAGCTTCTTCAGGTAAATGACTCCCTGTCAAGCCCTGTGGGTAGAAAATAATGGGCTTTTCTCAACCAGAACCCTCCATCTCCCCTGTGGGTAGAAAATAATGGGCTTTTCTCTATGTGAGTAGGAACCAGAAGGTTCTGATGGTATCCCAGTCTTCTGGTCAGCTGGTCCAGAAACAGTTAAAACTTTTAGAGCCTCTTCATGTAGGTGACTGTCTGGCAAGGCCTGTGGCGAGATAAAAATATGCTTCTCTCCACGTGGATAGGAAGTAGAGGGTACTGTTGATATCCCAGTCTTCTGGTCAGCTGGTCCAGGAATGATGGGAACTTTCAGGGCCTCTTCAGTGAGATGAGTATCTGGTAAATCCTCTGGATAAAAAATAATGGGCTTCTCTCTATGTGAGTAGGAACCTGAAGGTTCTGATGGCAACCCAGCCTTCTGGTCAGCTAGTCCAGGAACAGCTGTAACTTTTAGAGAGTCTTCAGGTAGATGACTGTCTGGTAAGCCCTGTGTGTTGAAAATAAAGGGCTTTTCTCTATGAGAGTAAGAAGTAAAGGGTATTACTGGTTCCCCGGTCTTCTGTTGAGCTGGTCCAGGGACAGCTAAAACTTCCTGACCCTCTTTAGTTAAATGACTAACTGGCAACTCCTGTTGGTAGATAATATGGGGCTTCTCTGTATGTGAGTGAGAAGTAGAAGATACTGTTGGTATTCCACTCCTTTGGTCAGCAAGTCCAGGAGGAGCTGAAACTTTCAGAACTTGTTCAGTGAGATGACTTCCTGGCAATGTCTGTTGATAGAAAACAGTGGCCTTCTCTCCATGTGAGAAAGAAGTAGAGGTTCCTGTTGGTAGCTCAGTTTTCTGGCCACTGAATCCAGGAACAGCTGCAGCTTGCTGAGACTGTTCAGGTAGATGACTCTCTGGCAACTTTTGCTGGTAGAAAAGACTGGGCTTCTCCCTATGTGGGTAAGAAGTAGAGGACACTGTTGGTATCCCTGTTTTCTGCTCAGTGGATCCAGGAGCAGCTGAAACTTTTAGAGCCCGTTCAGGTAGATGACTTCCTGGCAATGTCTGTTGCTGGAAAATAAGGGGTGTCTCTCCATGCGAGAAAGAAGAAGAGGTTCCTATTGGTATCCCAGTCTTCTGGTCAACAAATACAGAAACAGCTGCAGCTTGCTGAGACTGTTCAGGTAGATGACTCTCTGGCAACTTTTGCTGGTAGAAAAGACTGGGCTTCTCTCTAGGTGGGTAAGAAGTAGAGGACACTGTTGATATTGCTGTTTTTTGCTCAGTGGATCCAGGAGCAGCTGAAACTTTCAGAACTTGTTCAGTGAGATGACTTCCTGGCAATGTCTGTTGATAGAAAACAGTGGCCTTCTCTCCATGTGAGTAAGAAGTAGAGGTTCCTGTTGGTAGCTCAGTCTTCTGGCCACTGAATCCAGAAGCAGCTACAGCTTGCTGAGACTGTTCAGGTAGATGACTTCCTGGCAATGTCTGTTGCTGGAAAATAAGGGGTGTCTCTCCATGTGAGAAAGAAGAAGAGGTTCCTATCGGTATCCCAGTCTTCTGGTCAGTGAATACAGAAACAGCTGCAGCTTGCTGAGACTGTTCAGGTAGATGACTCTCTGGCAACTTTTGCTGGTAGAAAAGACTGGGCTTCTCTCTAGGTGGGTAAGAAGTAGAGGACACTGTTGATATTGCTGTTTTTTGCTCAGTGGATCCAGGAGCAGCTAAAACTTTCAGAACTTGTTCAGTGAGATGACTTCCTGGCAATGTCTGTTGATAGAAAACAGTGGCCTTCTCTCCATGTGAGTAAGAAGTAGAGGTTCCTGTTGGTAGCTCAGTCTTCTGGCCACTGAATCCAGAAGCAGCTATAGCTTGCTGAGACTGTTCAGGTAGATGACTTCCTGGCAATGTCTGTTGCTGGAAAATAAGGGGTGTCTCTCCATATGAGAAAGAAGCAGAAGTTCCTGTTGGTATCCCAGTCTTCTGGTCAGTGAATACAGAAACAGCTGCAGCTTGCTGAGACTGTTCGGGTAGATGACTGTCTCTCAGCTCCTGCTGGTAGAAAACAGTGGCCTTCTCTCCATGTGAGAAAGAAGTAGAGGTTCCTGTTGGTATCCCAGTCTTCTGGTCAGTGAATACAGAAACAGCTGCAGCTTGCTGAGACTGTTCGGGTAGATGACTGTCTCTCAGCTCTTGCTGGTAGAAAACAGTGGCCTTCTCTCCATGTGAGAAAGAAGTAGAGGTTCCTGTTGGTAGCTCAGTCTTCTGGCCACTGAATCCAGAAACAGCTGCAGCTTGCTGAGACTGTTCAGGCAGATGACTCTCTGGCAACTTTTGCTGGTAGAAAAGACTGGGCTTCTCTCTATGTGGGTAAGAAGTAGAGGACACTGTTGGTATCCCTGTTTTCTGCTCAGTGGATCCAGGAGCAGCTGAAACTTTCAGAGCCTGTTCAGTTAGATGACTGTCTGGCAGTTGTTGCTGAGAGAAAACAATCTGTTGCCTCTCTCTGTGTGAAAAGGAACTAGAAGGTACTGTTGTTTTCTCACTCTTCTGGTCAACAGGACCAAGAACAGCTGAAACTTTTGGAGCCTCTTCAGTTTGATCACTATCTGGCAATGTCTGTTGGTAGAAGATACTGTGGTTCTCTCCAAGTAAGTAGGTACTTGGAGGGACTGTGGATAGGTTGGTCTTCTGGTCAGTAGGTCCAGGAACAGCTGAAAGTGTTAGAGGCCCTTCAGTTAGATTGTCTCTCAAGGGCTGTGGGTAGAAAATACTGGGCTTCTCTATTAATGAATAGGAACTAGAGGGTAGTGTTGATATCCCAGACTTCTGGTCAGCTAGTTCAGAAACAGCTAAAACTTTTAGTGCCTCTTCAGTTACATGGCTATCTGCCAATATCTGTTTGTTAAGGCTGTCAGTATGTAGATGAAGAGTATTTTCCACAGAAGATCTTACAACCAACTGAGGGAAGTCCTCAGGGGTCAAGGGTAAGTAAGATCCAGTATCTGAATCTCCAGAAGTGGTAGTGATGCCTGCCTTCAAGTTGGATTGAGTAATTTCAGTTATGCTTCCTTCGGAAATATCTCCTGAAAAAAAAAAAAAAGAAATTACTTAATTCTGATGATAGTATATATTTTTTGAATTAAAAAATACTTCTTTTATTCACTAAAAGAAAGGAAACATTCCCTCCTTGGGACTTTACACTCTAGAAAGGAATCCTACAGAAATAGTCATGAAAAGACACAAATATTTACACTCAAAGATATGTATTACAAAGTCTTTTAAAGTAGCAATCTAATGTATAATTTAAATATTCAACTGACTTCCGTCAAGATGGAGGCATAGGTGGAGACGCCGTGCTTTCTCTCACAACCAAGTTTAGAGACAACTAAATATTAGCAACAGAAAACACAGCCAGAACACAGAAAATCGAACTTTTCGGAAGTCTGATAACAACAAATTCTTCAGCCTGACCGGTAAGAGGGGCGAAGCCAGCAGCTGGCAGAGCGGGGTTGCACAGAAAAACTCAGTCAGATGGACTCGGGCGCGCGGAACCCAGGTGCAGGGTTGGACCTAGTAAGCAACTCAGCGAGCGACTGCAGGGAAACAGCGAGGGAGCAGGGCTGCGGGGTGACTGTGGTCGCGCATTCGTGCGCAGATAGACAAGCGAGGGAGTGGGCGGTGAGACTACTGGACTGAGCAGGCCCCACGGCCAGCGGCAGCAGAGGGCGCCGCCATTTCCCTGCTCTGACCCCGCCTCCACATACGGCATCATAACCCAGCGACCTGAGGGGCCCCCGCCCTGGTGAACCACCTAAGGCTCTGCTCCTCACCCAGCGGGGCAAAACAGCAGAGGGGGTGGCCATTTCCCCGCTCTGACCACGCCCCCACATACAGCATCACAACCTGGCGATCTGGGAGTCCAAGGCTCCACTCCTCATACTTAACAGGTGCGAACAGACCAAAAAATGGCTCAAGAAGATCTCAAAGCCCCAGAGCCTATAAATCTAAACGATGAAGAAATAGCAAAACTCTCGGACGCACAGTTTAAAACACTGGTCATCAGGATCCTCACAGAACTGGTTGATTATAGCCACAAATTAGAGAAACATATGAAGGCGAAACTAATTGAAATGAATGGAATTGTACAGAAAACCAATAGCGATGAAAAGGAAACTGGGACACAAATCAATGGAGTGGACCAGAAGAAAGCAAATAATGGCCAAACAAAAAAGAGTGAAGAAGCAAGAATTCAAAAAAATGAGGAGAGGCTAAAGAACTTCCAGGACATCTTTAAACGCTCCAACCTCCGAATTATAGGGGTACCAGAAGGGGGAAAGGAACAGCCACCAGTGGAAAACTTACTTGAACAAATAATAAAGGAGAATTTCCCCAATCTGGCAAAGGAAATAGACTTCCAGGAAATCCAGGAAGCTCAGAGAGTCCCAAAGAAGTTGGACCCAAGAAGAAACACACCAAGGCACATCATAATTATATTAGCCAAGATTAAAATGAAGGAGAGAATCCTAGAAGCAGCAAGAGATAAGGGGGCAGTCACCTACAAAGGACTTCCCATCAGACTGTCAGCGGATTTCTCAAAAGAGACCTTGCAGGCAGGCAAGAAGGGGCTGGAAAGAGGTATTCCAAGTCATGAAATCCAAAGACCTACAACCAAGATTGCTCTATCCAGCAAAGCTTTCATTTATAATGGAAGGACAGATAAAGTGCTTCTCAGATAAGGTCAAATTCAAGGAGTTCATCATCACCAAGCCCTTATTATATGAAATGTTAAAGGGACTTACCTAAGAAAAAAGAAGATAAAAAAGATGAACAGTGAAAGGACAGCAAACTCACAGTTATTAACAATCACACCTAAAACAAAAGCAAATTAAGAGGACAGCTAGATCAGGAGTGGAAACATAGAAATGAAGATCACATGGAAGGTTAGCAACAGGGGAGTGGGAGGAGAAGGTACAGAAAATTAGTGTAGACGGTAGGTAGAAAATAGATAGGGAGGGGGGAGGGCAAGAATAGTATGGGAAATATAGAATCTAAAAAACTTGAGACACGTGTTCATGAACTAAAGGGGGAGAATGGTGGGGGAGGGGGTGTGCAGGGTAAAGGGGAATGAAGGGGGGAAAATAGAACAAATGTAATGGCGTAATCAATAAAAAATATATTTAAAAAATCAGCAAACCAAAATCAATAATAAAATAAAGGTTCCTATACCATGACCAAGTGGGATTTATCCCCGGGATGCAAGGATAGTTCAACATCTGCAAATCAATAAAACAGAAAACATTAACAAAATGAAGTTTAAAAATCATATGATCACCTCAGTAGATATAAAAAAAGCATATGACAAAATTCTACACCCATTTATAACAAAAATGTTCAACAAAGGGGGCACAGAGGGAATTATCTCAACATAATGAATAGTCAACACCTAACATCATATCCAATGGTGGAAAGGTAAAACCTTTTCTTCTAATAACAGGAACAAACCAAGGATGCCCACTCTCACACATTCTTTCCAATTCTTAGCACTTTTATTGAACATAATACTGGAAATCCTAACCAGAGCAATCAGGCAAGAAAAAGAAATAAAAGGCATCCAAATTGGAAAGGAGGAAGCAAAAGTGTCATTGTTTACAGATGACAAGATAGTGTACATACAAAATCCTATAGACTCCATCAAAAAACTACACGACCTAATAAGTGAATTTGGCAAAACAGCAGGCTACGAGGCCAGTATTCAGAAATCAAAGGCATTTTTGTATGCCAACAATGAAATATCAAAAACAGAAATCAGGGGGAAAATCCCATTTGATATAGTAACAAAAACAAATAAAGTACTTAGGCATAAACCTAACCAAGGAGGCAAAAGACCTGTACAAGGAAGACTGTACAACACTGAAGAAAGAAATTAAGGAAGACACAAAGAAATGGAAGCATGTACCATGCTTGTGGATTGCAAGAATTAACATCAACAAAATGTCCATCCTACCCAAAGCAATTTACAGATCCAACGCAATTCCTATTAAAGTACTATATTTCACAGATATAAAACAAATATTTCAGAAATTTATATAGAACCATAAAATGACCCTGAATAGCTGCAGCAATTTTGAGAAAAAAGAACAAAGTAGGAGGAATCACAATACCTGATATCAAACTGTATTACAAGGCCAATGTACTCAAAACAGCCTGGCACTGGCATAAGAACACACACATAGACCAATGGAACAGAACAGAGAGCCCAGAAATAAACCCAAGCCTCGAAGGTCAATTAATATTTAACGAAGGGGAAGAAGCATAAAATAGAGTAAAAATACCCTCTTCAACAAATGGTGTTGGGAGAGCAGGACAGCTACATGCAAAAAAATGAAATTTTATCACCAGCTTACACCATACACAAAAATAAATTCAAGGTGGATAAAAGACTTAAATATAGGTCGTGACACCATTAAAGTCCTAGAGGAAAACATTGGCAGGAAAATCTCATACATTCCATGCAGCAACATCTTCACTGGTATGTCGACTGGTATGTAAAGCAAGGGACATAAAGAAAAGAACAAAGAAATGGGACCTCATTAAATTAAAAAGCTTCTGCATGGCTAAAGAAAACAGCATTAAAATGAAGAGAGAACCAACTACATGGGAAAACATATTTGCCAATGACACCTCAACAAGGGTTTGATCTCCAAAACATATAAAAAACTCACACAACTCTGCTCTAGGAAGACAAAAAACCCATTTAAAAAATGGGCGAAAGACTTGAACAGACGATTCTCCAAGGAGGACGTACAGAGGGCCCACAAACATATGAAAAGATGCTCAGCATCACAAGTCATCAGATGCAAATTAAAACCACAATGAGATACCACTTCACAATGGTCAGAATGGCTATCATAAACAAATCAACAAATAAGTGCTGGAGAGGATGTAGAGAAAAGGGAACCCTAGTGCACTGTTGGTTGGAATGTAAACTGATGCAGCCACTGTGGAAAACAGTATGGAATTTCCTCAGAAAACTGAAAAATTGAACTGCCTTTTGACCCAGCAATTCTACTGCTGGGATTATATCCTAAGAGCCCTGAAACACCAATCCAAAAGAACCTATGCACTCCAATGTTCGTAGCAGCACAGTTTACATAGCCAAGTGCTGGAAGCAACCTAAGTGCCCATCAGTAAATGAGTGGATCAAAAAACTATGGTACATTTACACGATGGAGTACTATGTAGCAGAGAGAAAGGAGCTCCTACCCTTTGTGATAGCATGGATAGAACTGGAGAGTATTATGCTAAGTGAAATATGCCAGGCAGTGAGGGACAAATACCATATGATCTCACCTTTAACTGGAACATAATCAACAAAAGAAAAAAGCAAACAAAATATAACCAGAGATACTGAAATTAAGAACAATCTAACAATAACCAGAGGTTAGGGGGGAGGGGATGATAGGGGAAAGGGTTTTCAGGAACAACTATAAAGGGCACATGGACAAAACCAAGGGGAAGGGTGGAAGCAAGGGAGGGAGGTGGGTTTGGCTGGGGTGGAGGGGAGTGGTAGTGGGAAAATGAAGACAACTGCAATTGAACAATAGTAAAATAGTTTTAAAAAATAAAATAAAATATATTATACCAGAAAACTTAAAACAATATATTTTGACTAGATATTCTGTTAATTAAAAATATATATATATACATTACTTTGAAAAAAAAGAAAGAAAGAAATGCTGTTGGGAAAACTGGACAACCAGTGATGACTGGTATGGCTCAGTTGGTTGGGCATCATCCCACAGGGTGAAAGGCTTCTGGTTCGATTCCTGGTCAGGGCCCACGCCTGGATTGCAGGTTTGGTCCCCGGTCAGAGTTGCATGAGAAAGGCATCCCATTGATGTTCCTCACATCAATGTTTCTCTCTCTCTATTTCTCCCTCCCTTCCCTTCCCTCTAAAACCAAACAAAAAAAAAATTTTAAACTGAAGCAAAATTGAAAGGAAGGAAGGAAGAAAAAGAAAGAGAGAGAGAAGGAAGGAGAGGAAGAGGGTGAGGGAAAGGGAGAGGGAGGTAGGGAGGGAAGA